CATATTTCTGTTGATAACAAATATAGTAAAGCTTTGATAATCTCCAAACATCAATCATTCAAATAATCAACATGATCATCAGTCCCTGTGTAAGGCAGCCTTTTATGTTCTGACCCCAAAAATTTAAATATCCCAAATCTAGAAGTATATATTTGATTCTACACCACTTTGAGGTTTTGAAATTCTGAAGTATTTGCTGATTGCTAACATTTCCTGGCATCATTTACTTGTGTAATGCACCAACAAGCTTGAATATATAAACAGTAAATAACCCAACAGAACTGCTTTAGTAAAAAATTATGTCTAGAAAGCACAAGTAACAGTTATACAGAACATCTGCAGTCACATGCTCTACTGCTATGCAACATGTCAGTTTAACAAAGGTAACACTTTCTTTTAAAAATGGATCCATACCGTAACATATTTTCTAAAACATCATACAACACATTTTCATCAAGTTTTTTTTTTCACTAAAGAATGTTATTCTAGAAACAATGATACTTTATTATAATGGACATACATCTCCATCATATCTTCCCTCTTGACAAAACAACAACTCTGTTATAAATAGAGTAGTCTTACTTGACTGGTTATTATAATATCTATTTACATCACTGGAAACTGTACATGCCTGAATATATATATATATATATATATATATATATATATATATATATATATATATATATATATATACACACAAAATACCATTGGAAATTTAGAGTTTCTAGGTACATACTCAATATTGGAGGTTCTCAAACTGTTATCCAAGAAACACTGGTGATCAATGAGCTCTATCAAGATGGTCTGCAGAAAGGTTGCAGAACAATTGACAACCTCAACTTTCTTTACAAAAACTGGCTCATTCATCACATTAGAAAGGAAATAATACTGATACTAAAATATGGATTGTATCTTTTTATTTGTAGATGTTAATTATTATTAAACTTTTTCTATGTAGCACTTTGATGTGAAGTGCTTTTAATAGTTAGCTAACTGGACAATTTAAATACAAAAGGATCATAAAGTTGTTCGGAGAGACCCTCAGCAATATTCAAGTGGTCCATGAAAACAAAGATTGTGGACCACTACTATATGTGATTGCTCATCACAACTGTGATAGTGATTAAGTATTTCTCATATGATAAATTATACTATGTTCAAGAAATATATTTAAAACTACCATGGTATCATAAATTAAACATTATCACACAATTATCTTATGTAATAGATATATCCACGGTATATTTTAGATACCTTGCACAAAACAATATTCAATGAACTTATATACTTGTATACATTTTTGAAAAATAAGCATATTTACCTATATGCATATTAATAATGTTTAACCTTTTGAAAATAACTATCAACCAGTATACAATGTTGCTTTGACCTTTAACAAAAATATTCCATAATACAAGAATTATTACCATTTTCAAATTTGAAGTAAGAAACATTACTTTGGGATTAAATATTTCCAAAACTACTAAAAATCATATTTGTGGTTTTCACAAAGCTGAATTTACTTCTGTGAATATGAGTCAGACAAGCTCTATCATTTAGGTCAATTGACACCATGACTTAGAGTCAGACAAGTTCTATCATTTAGGTCAATTGACACCATGACTTAGAGTTAGACAAGTTCTATCATTTAGGTCAATTGACACCATGACTTAAGAGTTAGACAAGTTCTATCATTTAGGTCAATTGACACCATGAATTAGAGTTAGACAAGTTCCATGATTCAGTTCAACTGACACCATGATTCCAATTACAAGACCTATAATCAGTTTATTAACTTTAAATGTTGAGAAATTTCCAGGGCAGGTCATTGTCTTTTTTTATTACTAATGGATGAGGCATCAAAATTAAAACAGAAAAGGGAAAAGTGTCAAATAGAAAGCAATAGTAAATAACTATTGTAAAATAAAACATTATGTACAATTTCTTTTTGGCGGGAATGGGTTTTTTATTTTCCTCTCACAGCAAGTATTATATACATTAGATGTTGTGTCCCAAATTCATAAATATTGAGAAAAAATTGACAAGTAGATTTTATGATTGTGGACAAAGATCCTGCTAGTTATTTCAACCTAAAACCAAAGCAGTTGACCTCAGTTTACAGAATAGCTGAAAATTTATGCATATATGGTAGAAATCAGCACTTTCTACTTAATTTGCATGCATTAGTCTTTTCACAAATTTTAAATGACTGGTTAACAAAAAAATGAGTATCCAGTCAATTTATTCTCACAAAATTTTAAGCTTCCCCTTTTATTTTAGTTTCAATAGGCAATTACTTGAACAGAATGGTGGAAAATTTGTAAAAGGCTCTATTTATGTAATTTACTGAGGTAAGATAAATTTTGACAAGTAATAAAAGAACAATAATATCAACATTTTAGCTTTAAAATAACAAGCCCCCATACTTTGTATGACCTACCAACAGAGAAGACAGACTTGAGTGTAAGGAGAGATCATACATCAGAGCCTACCTTATCTGCTGTTTAAATAGGGTGGGATAGATGAGTAACACAAACCAATATAAAAAAAAACCTTTAGAAATATAGAACTCTCCTTAAATAATATGCATACAATGTAATATATTCTTTTAGATACAAAAAACATTATATTCAGGAATAGTAACATCACAGAAAAAAAACACAAAATTAATAACATGGCCATATAGATCAATGATCACAATTTATAACAAAACAATTCTTTTCAATAGAACAAAGAAAAAATTTAAAGTTAGAAACATTGCCATATTTTACTTACTCGTGCACCAAATTCTGGCAAGACACTTTACATGAAGATGTATTAAAAGAAATAAATGCAGAATTTGACATAATAGCCAATATATTTCTATTACGACTTTTATACATTACTATCTTTTTACCTTTAACAAATACCTGGATATATGTAAAAACATTCAGAAACTGTACATTAAAATGTTTCTTCACATATGCTTTCAGATTATATATTCTGACATGTCTCTTCAGTCTATTGGCTCAGGCATTTTTCATGTACAATTTGTATGATTCACATAAAAAACAATTCATAAATATTCGCATCTGTTTGTCAGTTGACCTGGATCGAAAATAGGTTCTGGAAGTTCAAATTTCTTTTACAATGGCACACAATTTTCAATGACATTGTGAATGCATTTTATAATTCGTTATTTCAATTTTTTGCAGTATTTTTGTTTCAATTTTTTGCAGTTGGCATATTGACAGGGGATAATAATATTGACCAGGTTGCTGTACATGGTATTTGACATGTATTATGCTTCAACACTTCAACAAACTGATCAGTTATGAAGGTGAGTCAAGTTACACTGAATAGGTTCAACCCACATTTTTTGCCATATTAAATGTTTAATCCTTGTGCTCCACCCACAGAAAAATTTGCCACTCAACTTTTTCTCAACTACATCAGTTTCCCAGACAATGTTTGGGTACCTCAGTGCCCCAGACAACTTTTGGACCTATTGGGTATTTAACCCCTAAAACAAAATTTTGGTAAAATTAGATTTTACAAAAATAACTGGTCATTATCAGTTTTAAATTAGTTTTAAACTAAACACTAAAAACAACTAATTCTTGTCACATTTAATGCCTTGTTTTTTATCGGTCTCAGTTTTAATTACTTCTATCCACTTAGTAATTTGTCTCTGTAAATCATGTTTTTGATAAACCCTTGCTTCAATCAGGAGGGAAATGATTTAATAGTCTGATAAATTAAATCTGAGAGAATACTTTTTACTATTAATGTTGAAGATGGACTATTATTTTACTGGAAAAAAGCTAAAGTATTTTTAATTTTTCAACAAATATTTGATACAGATTTCCTCCATCATATTCCTGACATTTTCAGCATCTGTCTGATAGTATCTGAGTACTTGATTTTATACAATAATTGACCAAGAAAGCACCCTGTCAATTCCAGCTATAAAGGTTAAACTGGCTTACCATACATGTTTACATCTTAAAGTGTGCTTTTTTAGTTTATTTTGTCAGTGATAAAAGTGACACCAGACAAAAAAATTTGAAGTGAAGTTTAAATCAGCTGATTGTGTATGCAAAGATATGTATAGGAACAGTGATGTTATCAGTGAAAGATTAAATGTTTGCATATGTGGTATGCTAAATGGAGGAAAAACATTTACATTTTACTTTTCAAACAGAATGTAATACACAGAAACTCTTTTTATCAGCTGTACCGCTGTGTACTGTGCTTATCACTGCCAGTTTCTGCTTTGCACACCGAATCTCCATTACTCATATACTGAAATCAAATCTGTACAAGAAGTAGGTGAAGCAACATTAAATTTTTCACCATCATCACCATGATTATCAAAATCATCATTTGCAAGGTCATATAACATTAAAAAAGAAGCTGACACACAAAATCCAATGTACCATGAAGGGTAATTTTTCTTTTGCTCAAAGTCTTGAAACTTTGTTTCACCAACTTACATGGAACAAGTCCACTTTAACTGTTTAGAAATAATGTAAAATATCAATGGCAGCCTTCTATGAAAAATATCCTCATCATCCATCTCTACTCATGCTCCACATTGTTTTTATTATTTTTGTTTCAAAGTGACAATGAATCATTAGCAATAAACAGGAATAAGTACAAGGACATTTCAATGTCAATTTTTTTTCCCTGGTATTCATCAGGAAATATACAGTAAAGCATTAATTGTAGCACAAGATAACCACATTGACAAACTTTATTATTAAATTACCAATATAATAATGGATTGGATTTGGATTTTTAACGTAGCTTTTAACAAATTTTCAGTCATATTGCTACGATGTCTGCAGTAAGGCAGTTTATAGTGATATCCAACACTTAGGCATCATACCGTAGACATATAGTATCATTTTGCACCCAGTCTTATTATCCTGGAACCAACCAGTCCTAGCATAAGCTACCTAATGTTGAGCTGCAAGCAAGGCAGCTGCTTGTACCATTTTTATAAGTCATTGGTATGACTCAACCAGGGTTTGAACCTATGACCACCTGCATCCAAGGCAGATGCTTTAACCACTTAGACCACTGGAGCAGTCACAATAATAATAATAATAATAATAATAATAATAATAATAATAATAATAATGTTGATTCTGAGTAGGGATTAAAGATGATGATGCTGATTACTCATGGCAATTTTTAATGCTCAAGTTAACACAAAAAAAAATGTTCTGCACGTTTCACATTTAAACCTCTTTCTGTAATTTTATTTTTTTTATTTTTGCTAACTAAATATAGTCACTGTAATATTTTTCTCTATTTCTTTCTACACCTAAAAAAGCTGATTAAAATAAATTTACTGAAAAACTACATTTCATGAAATAAAACTACTGAATGATTATTTTGTAGCAATCCATAATGGAAATAAAAATTAGGAATTATTTTCTTTCTGAAATTACTCCTTTCCATATTGCAGATTGTCACTATTTTCATCACCTGACCTTTTCTGAACCAATTTTATATTATTTAAGTCTATCCATCACCAAAACTAACTGTATGAAAACTCATGTACTTGCATACATGATGACTGAGAAATAAAGGTGTCTATAAATAATGCTCTGGTATTACCATACCCTAGTTAACTGCCTTTCTGTTATAAAAATGGTCAAACACCATATGTTACTTTATTTCCCTTTTCGCTTTGTGCATATTCATGAGGCATAATGTCATTTTTTAAAATGAAATTAAAACTCAAAAAAAGACATCCAGTCTCCTGAATATAAACTTTCATTCTTTTCTTACAAGATTTTCATATAAACAGTTGGAATATTATATTTTCATCACTTTCTTGACTTTACAAAATATGGGTAGTGTTTCTTTAAACTCAATCAATCACATAATTATTAAGTTAACTCATAAATGTACCTTGAGCCTAAAGAAGAAACTGTACAGAACATTCCTGTTACTTTTAAACGTCATTTGAAAGACTGGAGAAATCTTGAGCTATTTTGTCTATAACTCCAACCTTCAAGTATTTGTTTTCGTCATTGACATGACTGTCATTTTGAAAAAATTAATTTATCACACTCTCATATCATACTCTAACAGTCTTATAAAGCAAGAGTATGCTGCCATGTATGACAAATGTATAATTATACCAATGTACATACAATAATTAAACTGTATCTCAATATTTGCCCAGTTAAAATAATTCAAAGTCATTTTGAAAGTCAGTAGAAACATTCAAAGTCATAAACATGCATTAAACTGGACTGAATCATAAACAAGGTTGCAGTATGTGACACCACATTAATGGTGGCCCTTTATAATAAGATGGTTATCTGCTTGTATTCTTTTAAACTCTTTAGGTTATACTGGAATCACAGCCACTCCCATCACAACTGTCTTTACATTGCCAGAAAATACAGTTTCCAACACAGTTGTAACAAATTAAAAATAATGCTGCAAGGAACACGATGGTGCAGATGGAACAAGGTTTGCGCTCCAGAAAAAATCCAAGAAGATATAACACCAAAAACATAACATGGTTGTAAATTAGTGCTGGATTCAGAGGTTTTGGAATTAGCAAAACTGGTATCAGCCACTGAAGACAGTACATTTTAAACGATCTGTAACAGATGTATCGTCTTTAAAAATCAGCATGCAAGCACCATATTACAGAAGTCCAAAGTGCAGGCACAAATCGGTTTGATGGTTTCAACCTTTTGATATATGCAGTCACTTCCAGGCCGCTATGCACCGACACTGGTGTTCTTAAAAGAACTTGCAGGAAACATTGGAAAAAACCAACCAGCCGTGTTGATTTGATAATGTTCGTTCGACATATACAGTAACAGCGAGACGATATAAAAGGTAATTTATTTGTGTTGATTTATAGAATGCCTTTGTCTGCCCGAAAATACTCTGCTACGTATTTAGGTTTCGATTGTAAACAAGTACATCAGCTACCGAATAGAATCTTCCGGATGTTACTAAATGGGTGCGGGCTGATTCGGACCGTGACTGATTCGGGCCAATATTATTCAGACCAAATGACGGGCTGATTCGGACTAAAAGTTAGTCTGATTCGGGCCAGTAATTAAGTTAAGTTTTAGATTTAAATGCATCATTTATAGCTGTTTAAAATATTTATTGATCATTATTTCCAAATTATTTTTATTTGCGTGAGATAATAGTGTTGCCTGATATACAAAATCAAATCAAATAATTTAAGATTTCTTTATTTATTATTATTAATTTCATGGTAAAATATTTTCTAAGCATATCTTTTACCTCTGTGCAAAATTATAATTACTTTGCTTTATTTTATTGAGAAATACTACAATTACTAACACTAGACAAAACTACGAAACAGTGCCCACTCAAAATTGTAGTTCTGTGCCTTTGGTGACTATTCACGATCACATTCGAATATTAATATGTTGATTGTTTTCTTTTTGAGTTTCTATTTTTATTGACATTGATTGAATCAATATAAGACTATTTAAACATGAAAGATGGCTTTGATTAAGAAAGAAGAGCACTACAAACATATTTTAGCTTCTTTAACACTGAACGCTCAGCTATTCACGTATCGGTGCATGGAAATTAGTGTAGAATATAACCTAAGCGAAATGACCTATCAACAATAGGTAATTAAAATACTTTAATACCTTTTTACAGTTGATCTAAGTCTCTCTCTCTCTCTCTCTCTCTCTCTCTCTCTCTCTCTCTCTCTCTCTCTCTCTCTCTCTCTCTCTCTCTCTCTCTCTCTCTCTCTCTCTCTCTCTCTCTCTCTCTCTCTCTCTCTCTCTCTCTCTCTCTCTCTCTCTCTCTCTCCGGTCGGGTTGATATAACTTTTACCATCATTCATAGATCCAAAATTTGACCTTTGAGTATCTGTTTCTTTATGGTGAGTGCATCTGTATAAGATATTAGTATCTAGTTAATTAACTGCACACGTATACAGCTGACATGAAAATCAAAGATGCAGGAATTATACTTTTTAATGCAGGGATATTCGGAAATAACAATATATTAATAAATAATTTTTACATTGCACGAATACCAATATATCGCATGAATACATAAAGTCTAAGAACACATAATCTTTTTGAAAACTGAACATGGGTTGAAATTATATATTTTAACAAACATAGTGTTTAAACAGTCTACACTATAATCGCTGAGTGTATTCATTGCCGTATTATAGAGCTAAATAAGGAAATGATAGATCTCAAAAGAAGTGAGGGAACTTATATTTCTCAGATGTGGTGGGGGACAATAACGACCTCCCCCCCCAAAAAAAAGAAAAAGTATGGGAACGCCGTTCTCACAGCCACATCACAACATCTCTGTGTGCCGATAAAATGTGGATTTTTGTTTCTTCAAAATATTGAAAAGCCAACGTTTTGATTACACTACACACACAGTGGTCGGTACCTACCTATGGGTTAATAGATGAGTACAATGAAAATAATCAATACAAAGCAAATTCGAGCTGTGACATCTCCAAAAAGAATTGTTAAATGTCAGCCTTGGTTTGATACAGATTGCACAGATTACACAAATGTAAAAAGCAAAACCTTAAGATATATAAAACAGTTTAGATTAAATCGTGCAATTGAAATACTTGAAGATTATACATTTTATATAAATACGTATAAATCTCTTACAAGAAGCAAGCAAAAGCAAAATGAAGTAAAACAAAAAAAAAAGTACCCTTTTATCTATACTCTAATGATACACAACTTTTCTGGCGCCTTGTAAAGAACCCAAGCACCGGTATGCAAAACAGTATCACGTCTGCAACTTGATATGGATATTTTTCTGAATTATTTAATTTTTCCAGTTCTGTTGACAGATACAGAAGAAGAGGTATGCATAGCATTGATTAAACTGAAACATAACAAAGCTGGGGCATATATGCTTTATTTATATGTTAGAGCAACATCAATATTAACATTATTTAATGATGTATTTGATGTTGGATATTAGCCAGAATATTGGTCAACGGCTATCATTATACTAATTTTGAAGAGAGAGGATGCAACAAAATCCTCCAATGAGAGAGGCATTAGTTTACCAACTGTATTAAGCAAAGTGTTTGCACAGATTTTAAATAATATAATAAATTAATGGATTGAGGAAAACTAATTACTGGGCGAAGAGCAATCAGGATTTAGAGCCGGGTATTCCACAGCAGATAATATACTTATATTATATACATCAATTTGTAAATATTTATGAAAACGTAGGGGAAGATTCTATATAGTATCTATTGACTATGCAAAACCCTTGATAGGATAGAAAGATGTTTGCTGTACCAAAAGCAATGAAACTGTTGAAAAATGTTAAGAATCATTAAGGCAATTTATATTGATGCAAAAGCATGTACTAACTCCAACAGTCTTATTACTGTTATAAGGGAAATTTTAGTATAAATAAGAACATGAGAAATCTCTCTAAATTGTATTAAAACTAAACCTTCTTTGGACTCATTTTCATTAAACTATATTGTAAATAATTTCAATTAAAATATATGTAGATTAACTTTATTTAATAAAGCTATATTCTATTTTAATAAAGACTGCTTTCTTACAATTAGTGCAAGTTTCATTCTTGTATGTGTAAATTTACTTAACAAATAATCTTTACAAACAAGAAAAAAAAGTCTGCCTCTAACTGGTACAAGTTTGCCGCATTATACATGAATAAACTCAATAAGCTTACACTCAATGGCAAAAATTCTTGACATATTTCCTACTGAGTATCTTGGCTTGGAGGTTAAATCCAAGGGCAGAAATAAAAACGTAAAATATACGTAGTTCTATGGGGGATAAAACCAGTTCTCGCTAGTTAAAACAATCATGAAGTCCGAGCGTGTGCTAGCCCTCCTCACCTCAAAAAAGCTAAGACGTTACCATAAAAGGTTACGAGGTGTCGTGATCTAGTATAAATAAGCCCCCAAAAGAAGCTAGCATTCAGTTCGCCTTCCCGCTTCAACTACATGAGAACTCTTGTATTTATTACAGGTAAGACTTTTTTATGTTCTAAATTTTCTTGGATGGTGGGTACCTTTGAAAGTTAAAGTTTT